TTCAGAATGTTATCGCCAAACGTTTTCAGACTGTTATCGCCAAACGTTTTCAGAGTGTTGTCGCCAAACGTTTTCAGAATGTTATCGCCAAACGTTTTCAGAATGTTGTCGCCAAACGTTTTCAGAATGTTATCGCCAAACGTTTTCAGAATGTTGTCGCCAAACGTTTTCAGACTCTTATCCCCAAACGTTTTCAGAACGTTATCCCCAAACGTTTTCAGAACATTATCCCAAAACATTTTCAGAACGTTATCCCAAAACGTTTTCAGAGTGTTATCCCCAAACGTTTTCAGAACGTTATCCCAAAACGTTTTCAGAACGTTATCCCAAAACATTTTCAGAACGTTATCCCAAAACGTTTTCAGAGTGTTATCCCCAAACGTTTTCAGAACGTTATCCCAAAACGTTTTCAGAACGTTATCCCAAAACATTTTCAGAACGTTATCCCAAAACGTTTTCAGAGTGTTATCCCCAAACGTTTTCAGAACGTTATCCCAAAACGTTTTCAGAACGTTATCCCAAAACATTTTCAGAATGTTATCGCCAAACGTTTTCAGAATGTTGTCGCCAAACGTTTTCAGACTCTTATCCCCAAACGTTTTCAGAACGTTATCCCCAAACGTTTTCAGAACATTATCCCAAAACATTTTCAGAACGTTATCCCAAAACGTTTTCAGAGTGTTATCCCCAAACGTTTTCAGAACGTTATCCCAAAACGTTTTCAGAACGTTATCCCAAAACATTTTCAGAACGTTATCCCAAAACGTTTTCAGAACGTTATCCCAAAACGTTTTCAGAACGTTATCCCAAAACGTTTTCAGAACGTTATCCCAAAACGTTTTCAGAATGTTATCCCAAAACGTTTTCAGAACGTTATCCCAAAACGTTTTCAGAATGTTATGGCCGAACATTTTGGTTACTTAGTGGTTAATTAGTGGTCGCTTCGAAGTTATTTAGTGTTACCTAGTGGTTACTTAATGGTTACTTAGTAGTTATTTAGTGGTTACTTAGTAGTTACTTAGTGGTTACTTAATGGTAACTTAGTGGTTACTTAATGGTTACTTAGTGGTAACTTAGTGGTTACTTAATGGTTACTTAGTAGTTATTTAGTGGTTACTTAGTAGTTACTTAGTGGTTACTTAATGGTAACTTAGTGGTTACTTAATGGTCACTTAATGGTAACTTAATGGTTACTTAGTAGTTACTTAGTGGTTACTTAATGGTAACTTAATGGTTACTTAATGGTTACTAAGTGGTTACTTAATGATTAAATTACTTTAATTTTTTTGTTCGACCCATTTTAAGCTTTAAACATGGAGGAGGCGGGTTTTCTGATCTATATAACATAGCATGCTGGTAGCATCTGCAGTCACCAGTTGAGGAGGAAGTTTAGCTTCACTTTTGTACAATGAAGAGAGACAGAGATCCTCCGTCCATAATAGTATAAAGTCAGTTGTTGCAACACAGCCCTATAAGCCCCATCTCTAACTGTTAAGTTTGGAAGTATGGAAAGGCACCTGGAGTAGCTATTTTGAAATTTCAGTGGGGGGGGGGGGGGTGGGGGGCATGCCAACCCCCAGTCCCACCCCCTGGACATACCCCTGCATGATTCATAGCTTTATTCTCATCAACCAGTGCTTTTTTTTTTTATCTCTTTGTACCAGGCCTGAGCCCACCCGGCATATCTCACCCACTTTAATCCCACTCTGTTTTTTCCAGTCCTTTCATTCCCTGCTCCACTGCTGCTGCTGTTCTCCTCTCCTCCCCGGCACTTATTCTGCCACGCGCAGAGCATTCCTCTCCCTCTTCAAACACTGCCTCCAGAGTTCCTGCCCTTGTTAAAATACTCCCTCCCTTTTTTCTCTTTACTTTCTTTTTTCTTTTCTTTTTTTCACTTTTTAATTTTCACTCCCGAGTCGACAGTGCTCCCACCTCTGGAATGCCCGGGCGCATTTTCCAAATCCCACGGAGGAGAAACAAAGCATTGTCTGACGCTTTGTTGTCGTCCGCACTGAAGGACGGCAAAAACTGTTTTTGAGGGGAAATTTGATTTCAACACAGAGATATATCTTCTTTTAATACTACAACTCTGACTCTTTGATAACTGCTTCTTCTTTTCTTGTTTTGAGGTATCTAAAACTCACAATACACTCAATCACTGATGTATATATGCAACAGAAGGGCACCAAGTAGAAATAAGGACACTGAGGCATCTTTTATGTATTTTTATCTGAATTTGGGTGCTTTAATGAGCTGGGGGGATAGCACAGTCTACTAAATATCCCTAAAGAAATTGTGAGATATATTGAAATACAGACTTCATCAAGTTCTGCGAGAGTTAAAGTTGTTATTGGGTGGGAAATAAAATGCTACATACAGTAGAAATATAACAAGACCCGGAGAATAGTAAGGGATGCAGCTAACCCTACATTATCCAAATAAAGAAAAACAATGTTATCTTTGAAACCACAGTGTAGCTGTGAGTGACAGCATGTCTCAGTCATGAGGGATAAACTCGCTCTACAGACAAGTGGCACCATTGACGATTGTGAAATAAACCTCGAAAATAAGACAATCCCACTTTTTCAGATGAATTTCACTCACTGATATGGTAACTGGTCCAGAAGAGAAGAGGCAATCTGTTATTTGACAAAGGACAGAACAAATCTCAAAAACTTAAATTGAACATTTTCAACATTTCCCCAACTCGACGGCTGCCCAATGCTTTAAGATGTTTCATCTTTCACTTGTTTATATAACCAGTTTTATTCTAGCAGTTTGCCAGGTAGATGAAAGACTGGAGATGTGGATGAAAGCTTTCGATTGTAGGAAACTGACCTTGAGTTGTTGAGTGCAAAACTACTGTCACAACTTCAACGATGCTTAAAATCTTAGATTTGTGTGACGCAAAAAGTTTTTATTAATCTCCCTCAAGGTTGGGAGCCACCGCTGTATCCTCAGTCTGAAGGCACCATGTATTGAGAGTTGATATCCAGCTTTATAGAAGACCAATTGGTTTCCAACAACAGCATGTGGTCCCTTTTATTATTTGATAAATCCGTTTGTGGTGATGTTTTAAAATCCTTGCTTTCTCAAGTTTGAACAATATCTTTTGAACAAAGGCAGAATGAATTACAAAAGAAGACATCTCTTTGTGTGGGAAACAAGTGCACTTATCTCAACCTATTACTGGGAATTTTCATTTGTTGTGAGAAAACACGACTTTCAGGCTCAAAAAAGGATTAACTCCCTAAGACAGATAAGTCTGCAAAGTTGCATTGCTATTATCGCTGTATATCTACACCGTCACATAAATGATGAAAAACTATCATTACTTGGAAATGAGCTCTGTAACCGAGTGGGATGACATGGTAGAGGAGGCTTCACAAAGCAGATTGGATGTTTTTTCAGACGTCGACCCTGGTGAAAGAAAATACCCAGAACACACATTTGTTTGAAGACGGATTAGACTCAGTCAATTCTCTGTTTACTTTTATGTCCCTCTACACCACTTTGAGATAAACACAAGGGGATTTTTTTCCCCTTTAAGGGCCCGATTCTTCTAGCAAAATCTCAGCAAACTGACAGTGCGTGTAAGGGAACAAAATGGGTTGGAAATCTGAATTTCATTAATGATTTAACAAAAAAATAAAAATACAGCTGATTAATACTCGCATGCCCTTGAAAGTGTTTCACAAAAATACAAAAGCTTCACTCACCAAAGACCTGAGGGTTTCAAGGAAATCTTTCGCTGCACAGTTCCCCTGAGGGTAGATGTTTGAAAATGTAATGAAAACATGTTTTTAAGACATCTCTGGCAACAAAGAGGTGGCCTCGGTAGGTCCTTGTCCAATTAGAAATGGTGTGCTATTGATGAAGTTCAACTTTCAAGGGGAAAGGAAAGACGATTCGGCCGGGAAAAAAAAGCCTTAAGGGATGTTTTTCAAAAGGTTTCAGCTAATACAAGCTAAGCTAATTCTTATGGTCTAATTGATGGTGCTGGTAAATAGTTCTAAATTCTTTCAGAAACTTGAGCATTTGAAGTGTCTGTAAGAGGCTGTCAAGAAGAAAAGACATACTTGTGGTATGAAGAAATAAATTATTGCTGTTTTGCTGCCAGGCCAGTGGAAATACCGCTTCTCTGCCTCTCATTCTCTCTTTCCTCTTTTCCTTTTTTTTTTTTTCCATGGAAAGCTGGATTTGGGAAAAGCCTTGCCTCTCTCCTCCTTCTCCTCCTCCTCCTCCTCCTTCAGCCTTCACATCCGGGTCACTTGGGTTGGTTGGAGCAAGATGCTGCCTTCAGGTACCCTCTCGTAAACGTGTGAACTCAGAAGTTTGGAAGTTGTAAACACATCTTTGCGATCCATTGGAATAAATTTGACACTTCAGACACTTTTCTTTTTTTCTTTTTTTTTTAGTGCTGTATGAAAGAAAAATAGTTTATAAAAACAACGTCCATTGAAGCACATGTGATGGACTGAATCATTATTTACATTTGTATAGATTAATTGACTTATAAGGCTGTTTTTGATCTTATTAGGTGCATTTATGGATCTATATATTTCAGACTAATGGACACATTAAAAAAAAACAACTAACAAAATGAATCTCCCACGACGATGAAATGTCTGCAGGTGAATGTAGTTGATTTGTCTTAATGTATTCCTGAGAAATTGTCATTTTAAGTAATTAATTTATCAAATAAGTTGTTTTTATGACACTCAAATGTATTTGATGATATTTATGTGGACTTGCAAGGACAATAAGAAAAAAATATGTGCCACCAGGTGCGGCTACATCCTGATTTCATGACGTTATTTGTCTTTAATATATATATATATAGTATAGTTATCAAATGCTACCATACTAAATCTACCAAAATAATTTTCCAATGTCAGCACATTTCGTTTTCGTCGTTCTCGTCCGTGTGAAACTACCAGCGCCGACTTTTGAGACAGCACCTGAAGGCACCACAAGTTGAGCAGCTCTCAGTTAACGCCAAGGCAGACTGATGATCCAGCTGCTGTGCGCTCATATGGATACAAGTAACGTTTGCTATTGAAAGTGGGCACGCTACAGTGTTTCGGTGACACTGGGGGACTTCAAAGAGCGGTAAAACTTCTTCCACGGCCGCACTCATGTAATCCCCCCCCCACCCCTTGTTGGAGCCATGTCCAAGAGCCTGAAGAAGAGGAAGAACCACTGGACTAACAAAGTCCATGAGAGTGTCCTTTGCAGGAATGAGGAGGGGGAGCTGGGGCTGGAGTTGAAGGGCGGCGCAGAGAATGGACAGTTCCCGGTTATCGGCGAGCTTCTCCCGGGCAGAGCGCTCTGCCACAGCGGCAAACTCTTCCAGGATGAACTCCTGCTGGAAGTCAATGACACCCCTGTGGCTGGACTCACCACCAGGGACGTCCATGCTGTGGTCAAACACAGCAAAGACCCCGTCCGACTCAAGTGTGTCAAACAAGGTGAGGTCTTTCAGCTTTTTACACCAACTTTACCGCATTTCGCAGTTTTTTTTTTCTCTCCCCCTTCTCGAAAACCGCTAGTTGGCTTTTTGACACGCTCGTTTGTTTTGACAGCAGTGCTATTGTCTTCGAAAACTGATACCTTACCCCCTCTACTCGGTGCTACGAGCGAACCACGTTAAGAAAATGAACTTTTTCTTGTGTTTTGTTGTTGTTTCACGGCGTCTGTTGCCCTTAAATTGGGTTTGGCATACATACTGATTTCCCATAAAGTTAACTGACCATTACGTTAATAAAAAGTCTTTTTTTTTTTTTAGAACTACAATGCAAAAATATGGAAGTTTGGCCTTTCAATATGTTTAAATTGCTGATTTACTCTGATTTATTTGCAGCCCTGGATGTATTTGAATTGCTGTGGTGATGTCTGGTTTAGTGTGTGTACTGTCTTCAAGGGGAGAAAATTGCTTTATAGTCCTCATCTAACCTTTTGAATCAGAAAACTTTTTGTCTTTTTGCAAAGTATGGAATATTTATTACCCAACTTGTGCTGCGTTAAGTGGACTAAATTGGATCGGGAAACGATTGTGTTTAAGCAAACCCCCCGGGGTTCCTATTTCAACATTACAGAGGTGTCAAGAGGAATGAAAATTACCATAAAGTTTGATAAGGTCACAGTCGTTGAACGCCGCAGACGGAGCAACCGTTGCCCTTAGAAATATTAAGTATTGGATTTTTTTTTGTAGCTTCACTAAATGCAAAAGGAGCCAACATTTTTCCCTCCAATTGTTGTAGATCTTTTTGAATTGCAGCACATGCAGCAGCCTGATATCTTAACTCTCACTTATAAATTAGGGCTATATACTTGCATGACCTCTTGTCATCTTTGTGGAGTAGACAAGAGTTACACACACTTCTCTGACCGTCTGTGTCTCTGATCCTTGTGGCTAATGACGCTGGGTGTCTTTGCATTGTGAGCACAGATAGGAGGATCTGTGGCCTCTCATTTTGGGGTGAAAAATCAGCCCGTAAGAGGCTTTGGATCAAAGTCTCAGCCTGTGTGACGGTGTGTGATGTGTGTGCGTTCGCTATCACACCAGGGATTTATTCCAAAAAGGCAGCCAAGCCTATATCAAACTGATGTGTTACTTTTTTTTTTCCTGCCATGAAATATTTATACCCTCAAGTGATTGCTCAAGTGATTGATATTCTCCCATCGCTCTGCTCATGTTTGCTCAGCCGCTTGTTTACACCGTCGAGTTATTTTTTAAATGGCTGATATGTGCATTAAATAAATATTACGGAGGGAAAACACTCTTTCTTTGCACTGCTCTGCTGCCAAAGAGATATTTCTTCACTTCTGAGCTGTAGCACATCCACTCATCTGATAGTCTGTTTTAATCGTTTTTTCCTGAGGGAGGGTCATAAGCTGTGTTCACATGTTAGAATCTCACAGACAGGCTGCCTGCTGAAATCTGCCTGACTTACCTGTTCACACCTGCACCTCACAGCTGGAGACTATCCCTGTCAGACAGAGGCCGAGGGGGATCTTAGGTGCAGGACAGGAGGACACGACATTAAAAAGGCAGCGTGGAAATGAGCAAAAAAAAAAAAAAAGCAACAGAGCCATTCATATAATGACAGATTTTTGGTTGAGTGCTATTCAGCCTATGGTGGCACCATAAGGCTCAAATATTCTTGCTTTTGAACCATGCACATACGCTTAGACAACCAGCTGCGCCATGCTGGATATGCATTGGTGTAATGTAAACAAACATGACATAGTTGCAGACTTAATCTATGAACTTTTCTTCAAACTTTTCTGCCATATTAGTCGCAGCTCTCTGGTGTCTCTTAGTGTCCGATCTCATCACCATACAACCCCACACTGCTCCTAGTGGTTATATGCATATTGCACCTCATGGACATGTAGCGTGCACAACCAACACTCCAAACCAACGCAGGATACACAAGGCTGATGTCCTGCTTTCATGCAGTTAAAAGCAAGTACACCCAGGGCTATAGATTTAGTACTGACATTTTGCCAATGTACAGTATTTGTGCAATTTAGCCAGTTTTTACATCCTCTGCTTTGTCTGTTTGTAATTTGCTGACCTGTGACTCTGAATGGACCACCACTGCTTTCTCTTGCTTGCAGCAGCTTTGGGTTAAACATCTCTAAAGATCTTCTGTCCCTTAAAGCTTCTGTACATTTAGATACTATCGATCATTACAAAAATGGAGATTGTACCGTTTTAAAACATGTCGTGTTCAAAGGGTATCAAAGTGTCTTTTGTAGCTACGTTACTATATCTGACCTTGTGTTATCAGCCGAGCTTTTCTCCTTTTGTGTGGTGATCAGTTTGACAAATGGCTTCCCCATGGGGTTTTTTAAATGTAGATAAATATGTTGTATTGTGAGGACAGCTGGAGTGTATGACTGTCAGCGGAAATATGTCATTTCCCCACCAAGTGCTGGGTGTGCTTGGAAAATGTTTCCAATCAGAAGCACAAACGTATAAAAGGCATAAAACAACATCCAGTGATAATTACAGGGTCATACTCTTTTTAAATACATGAATGGCAAAACTGTATTTGAGTTGAAGTGAAGGTTTGATTAAACTCACTGACTGGTTTACATGCACGGTCGACCTCCAAAGTTTGATCATGGCCTTTTTGAATAATACATCAAGTTCTCTTTGGCACTGGTCTGCCGCCCCACAGAATATTAAAGTGCTTTCTCTTTCTTTTTGCAGAACTTTTGTCCAGGTTGCCAACCTTGATAAAAAAAAAACACCTTGTCCATGATTTAAAAATCTAGCTCACCATTCACGCTTTTGTTCCTGTTGAAGGGACCATGAACCAGATTTTCACCTGGCAGCATTTAAAAATGATAGAAGTCTTCTGGCTTTCTCCCACACATGCACACACACAGCATCAGGTGTTTTATTAGTCTCTGAGGTGAGGATTAGATTAGATCTGGTTAGATTAGATTGCCACCAATGATACGGCAGCCCTTTAGGACATAATTAATGTCTCCACTAAATACTGATGAGCTTATAAGAGAACATAGGGCAAAATGAAATTCCTAGTGACACAGTGAATTCTCATTAGAGCGAGAAACTCCAGGTAATGTAAGGATAGGTTTGAAATACCTCCAGTGGTTAAGGTGGCCCATTTAGATATGATGCAAGAAAAGGTCAAAGCAGGTATTTTCGACTCTCCCAGAGTTCTACTATACTCACTTTAAACATTACATTTGAGTGCATTATGACTGTTTTTGTCGGGATACACTGTAATATCCACTGGATCTTTATTGGTGCCATTTTGGGTTTGTGGATCCGAAAACGTCTTAATTTAGATTCTTGCCATTTACGGTCATTTTTCTTTTTTTTTTAAATTAATTTTCTTTTTTTCTTTATTATTTATTTAAAAAACGGTTAACCGTGTACACGGAAAAAAAAATGACGTCGTTTAACCGTTTTTTGTAACCGTTCACACCCCTAGTTTAAATTCAATGTGCTGTTGCGAGGTTTTTGTGCAGCGTCTCAGTGAAAAGAATGAAGCATTTCGATAGATCCGCTGTGCAAGTGGGAAGACAAATTCATTCATCTTGGTTTGTAGCGATGTTAAAATCCACAGTTTGAGTCGTGGCTAGCTGAGTCGTAGAAAAGTCATGTAATAAATATGTTGTTGCGTACTTCACTTGCCTACCTGCCTACCTGTTAGCACCACTCTGCCTTGAACACATTGCACACGACTGGAGTCATCCACACTCTAAAGCTAGCAAGCTAGTTGCACAAGTATGGGGGAAAAAAAGGTTGTTTGATAAAGTTTTCAATGTGCTGCTCCTTTCCCCCTGAAACTTCCTGATGGACTCTTTCTGTTCTGGAGGCAGAGTATACCCGTGTGTTTGGGAGGAATGGCTTTAACCTTTTTTCCAGTTGGCTACTTTCAAAATATAGTCTGCTCTCGCTGTTTATTTACACAGTTTAACACCCCAGCGTGGAGATCAACAGGTTGATTGTAATGAAGGTGTTATAGGGACCCCTGCGCTGTTGTGCCGCCAACGTGTTTACTCTGAGCGAAGAGCGATAATCTGCTGGCAGCCGGCGATGATTCCACCCTTATCTGCTGCATAGTGGATATTCTTTTTTAAATCCTCCAGGTGCCCACAAAGCATGCAGGGAAGTATGTGAACGATATGAGTTGCAGTACAGCTGTCTGCAGAATGATAAAATGTTACAAATTCAATCTGTCTTCATCCAGTCGTACCTTTACATAATTTGCATTGTAGGTAAATGTACATGTGCTGTCTCTGTAATTCATAAATAATGCTGCCAAAGCATCAAGATGAATTAACTCTACAATGTTTCCCCTGTTCCTTTTCCTCCATCTCCCCCCCGCCACACACACACACTGAAATGGCCAAGTTCATGTCCAGTGAGGGATTAATGCATCCAGCTATGGAGGCTGTCACTGCATCTTTCAGTGCCGCTACAGTGAGAAGCTCTTAGTGTCGTTGTACTTCAGCGCCGCCGTGAACCGTACGCCGGGTCTGAGTGCTGTTGGGGGTGCAGCTGTTTCCAGGTCAGCCGAAGGCAATCAGCCCGCTCGCCGGGTGCCCACTTAGCGTTAGCCGGTGTTGGGGAAATTCATTACAGCAGCACGAGCGCAGGGAGCTTCAGGAAGGCCGGAATAGCAGCAAGCGCGGCTTTCTAGGTTTAAAAGGTTGTTTTAATGCGAGGCTCGAGGGATTGTGCTGCTGCTGTGTTTGTCCACAAGCCTAAATATCAGAGAGAATGCCTTGACATTTTAAACATCGTTAATTAATTCATGTTATTACAAGTTCTTTCAAGTGCATCAATACTTCGTTTGAAACCTATCTACTTGAGAACTGTTATGTTAAGAAGAAGTTGAAGAAAAAACAGACGTCCTTAAACTTGCATAAATATTTTAGATGTCCAGACTGAGTTCCTGTGCTGTAGCACTCTGGAGCTCTC